CTTTAAGTTCAGGTTCAGTTCAGGTTCATAAATTCAAAGTTCAGTTTAGGTTCAGGTTCAAAGATCTGCAAAATTTGCAGTTCAGGTTCAGGTTCAGTTCAGGTTCATTGAACCTGAACTTGAACTGAACTGAACCTAGGAACCCTATCCATAATGACCCATAATGACCTATAATGATCTGGTTATTTGTAAATGACCAGGGTTATTTAGTCACTATATTATTTGCAAATTGAAATGACCCAGTGACCAAATGACCCCGGTCATTTCAATGTCATTTGAGGTTATTTAAAAAATAGTCAAATGACCTGGTCATTTACCAACCCTGCTCTTACTTACACTTGTATCTGTTTCATATTTTTTATAATCACAATTTATAATTTTTATTATAATTGTGATTATATAGAGGTTTAAATTTTATAATCATGCCTTTATATAATCACTATATTAGGGCGCAACCAACTTGGTGATTATATAGAGGTCAGACTGTATATGTTAAACCAAGAAGTTCTTGACCAAATGAATAGTAAGCTTTTTGAACTTTTGTTACAAGTCTTCTTAATTTATCAATATTGTTGAGTGAAGCATGAAGTTGAGATAAATAATTTACTCCAAATATTGCTTTAATAAGATTATCTAAAATAATAATAATTATTATTATTATTTTATTCTTTGACAGGTCTTGTTGTGACTCAAACTCTTAGTTTGTAGTATATATAAACTATATATATAATTTCTAAGACTAAATAAAAGCCCAACTCAGCCTGGTTATCAAAAGATTACCTGGCCGCAACTTATTGCACTTGCTTACAGATAAGCTGGAAATAGACTCTTTTACAAGCTTGTTCAAAAGAGATTTGCACCCTTTTGTATTCAGTTCTCTACCACATCATACTATACGTTGTACTTTTTCTTGTCCTTTACAAATAATTCAACCCCTTCTCTTTTAAATTTTTCTTTGGCTATGCTTCTTTGGTCTTCTTAATTCTTTTATCCTTCTTCTTTATATTATGATTCCTTTTCCAATTAACAATCTTGATATATCTGTCTTTCCAAATAAAATCATAAAAGCTATTCCAGATTATGTGCGTAGCAAGTTCTGTAATAGAATATCATTTTCGATAAAATTCAGAGATTCAAGATTCTATTAAATGAGTTCACTGTGGTTAGGCCTTTAATCCATAATTTTCTATTTTCCTGCCTATTAATGTCTGTCTACCCAATTAGAATCTTATACAAGAGATTTTTCAGGCATCTCTTCTTTTCTTCTTTTATAAATTTGAACCAAACGAGATCAAGAGTTGTAAACTCAATACTATATCATATTAATTTATAGTGATCACATTCAGCTAGATGATTCTGGGTCTCTACTATGCTGATGTTATATGCTAAATATTCACTATTTGTATAAATATCTAGTCTTTGTATTGCCAATATTTTGAGGACTAGTAGACTTTTCAAGAAACACTTCAATTGTGTAGCTAACTTCTTACTTTTCTTTAATATATTACATTTTGCACCTTTAAGCTTTTTTAATTTTTTCTAATATGAGAACCAATCCAATGTAGGCTTGTTTGAATTGGGTTGTAAGATTAGAATTGAGCTTGTTAGTCTTCAATTTGTGCTATTCCAGGTTTTAAAGATCTTCTTAAGAAAAGGCCTGGTTGCTTTTTCAACTTTATATTCTCCACAAAAAAGAGAGAAGGAGATTCTTAAATTAAGGTCTGAATGAATGTTTGTTGAGTACATTAAAGAAGAAGCTTTTTTTGCAAGTGTATCTGCTCTATCATTCTATTTGTTGTTGCTATGATCTTTAATTTTAATTAATTCTAGGTTGATTTTTTTTGCTTTAATAAGATCTGCAATTTTGATTAAAATGTCCTAATTTTTTCTTTTAAAAATCTTATTGAATCTCTATTCATTTTTAATCTTGTCTATATTGGATATTGCTGCTGCACTATCTGAGTATATGCAAATATCACTATTTATTAGAATTATAAAAAGGGCAAGCCAAATCATGATGAGCTTGGGCTTTGTTGATGAAGGCCAATTTTCAACTTTTGCCATACCCTCCTATAATAACCATTTTTGTTTCTTATCTACTTGTATCCAACCAATATCCATACTGCACTTATCTATCTCTCGAACTAATGAACTATCTGTGTATATCCAAAAACTATTCGTATTAAAACTATTATTTAAGTCTAAACTATTAGTTAAGCTACTATCTAACTCTATATTAAATTTTGATCTGATATTAATTGTTTATCTAAAGATTTCATGTTTTGTATGCTAACAAACAAACTTTCTTCTTTACTTAGTTTTATTATTTTTGGTCTACTCTTACTGCTAGTTAGAATGTCTTCATATCTTAAAATATGCTTTTAATTATCTTTTTCTAATGGCTTTGGGATTGCTGTTAAACATTACTCTGGCTCATTCAACTATAAATTCCCTCTTGATTTAATGGAGATGTTTCTTCACATTTTTCTATTTCAATGTACCCTGCTATTGAGCTATTTTTTTAAACTCCCAATGCTCTGTAAGAATTTTATATTTGCCTTTTCTAACAATTTTTCTTGGCTCTAATTTATTTTTTTTTATCTATTAGTATCCATTCTTTTTTTCTATTATCTGAAAAGATAGGTAAGAGTAGTGCCAAAGGTGCTAAATTGTTTGAACTAGTTGTTTGATGAACTTCTTTGATCTCTCTGTTTTCTGGATTTTGTAATATGGCATTTTCTAGAAAAGTAAACCATTTAGCTTTCTTTTTTGCTTTTGGTTTGCCTTTTGCCACCTTGAGTTGTTGCCAAGTTAAGAGACTTTTCTCTTCTCTGTCAAGTAGTTGATTACGAAAGAGGATACCCAGATTAAGAAGATTTTTGTATGATTTTAAGAAGAGAGAGGAATTCATTGTTTTTCTTATTTGTAGTCCAGCACTATCTAAAATAATTAATATATAATTAATATATTATATTATATTATATAAATATACTAAATATATAATAAATATTACTTACTTGAAATAAGCTTTCATAGTGTAATATTTATTAATTCTTCTAAAGCTTCTTCAATAATAATTTTTAATTTATTAATAATTTCATTTAGAACTTTACTAAGAGATGGGGTAAATGTTTGTATATTCCTTTACTGATAAGAATTATATAAGGATAATTTTTAATATTATATAGTACAATTTTATAATATTTTATATCACATCAATATTTAATTATAGATTCTTCTTTAATTGTACTATCTGAATAATAATGCAAAATCTCTAAATTAAAAAAATAATTAATATATATTTATTTTAATAATAATAAAATTTAAGTAATTATATTTACTATATGTTTTTCTTTTAGAATTGAATGATAATACTAATGAACATGATGTTATTTCGCTTGTAGGTTCAAACTAAAAATATTAATTTTATAATAATAATTAAGTATTGTTTTTTTTTTTTTTCTTTTTTGTCAAGTCTTGCCATAACTTGGTTCCAGCTATTATATAGTTGACCCTATGTTACTAGTGTTACAGGATCTTCATAACCCTATATGGGTATTATGTATATTTATCTGGTATCTATTACTTGACATTCTTGGGTTTCCTTATTGGGGCCTAGATCTGACTGCCTGCATGACACTTCGGAGAGGTCAAAACACCTTATACTGAGCTGCTATTCCACAAGCCAATGCAGTGCTGCCATGAGTTCATGTAGTATCCTCTTAGACTTTAACCTTACATTATGTTTTGTGACTTTGGTTATTTCAAATCAGGGTTCTAATATGTCTTGTTTCACAGCCACAACTTCTCAAAATAACTATTCTCCGAATACGTCCATCCATAGATATCCCAAGTTTCCTGTACCAATGGTGTGGTGTTTTACTTCCATATTTGGGTTTTTCATTATTTTGCCGCTAGGAGGAATTGAACTAGCAACCTTTTAATTTGCAACCTGGGAGCATAACTGCTATGCTATCAACCCACAGGTCTGTATTGTTTTTTAAAAAAATATTAAATTAAATCATAATATACTTACAGTTTCACTATTAAATAATTGTTTTAATAAACTAATATTAATATTAGTTTTTAATTTATAAAAAAAATGGTTTCCATTACCATTTTTATCCCACTATCGGCTATATTCAACAAACAAACTTTCAGTAGCTTGATCATTATATTTGCTGCATTTTTGTACAACAAAATTTCCTTTACAATTATAATTATTAAAAGGACATTTCAATTCAATTATAGCAAAATATTTGCTAAATATAAAGTAAATTATTAATTTATTTAATTATTATATAAATAAATATAATTATAAATACTCACATATATGTTTGCATTTCAACAGATTTATAATTATTTAAAGCCATACTTTCTTCTTAATAAAGATTGGTATCCATATTAACTTTTTTGTATAAAGCATTTTGAATTTCATCACTTGCAAATACACATCGTTTATCACCTTGACAAGTAGAATAGTATTTGTGTATATCACAGTCTAAAAAAGTACACCAAACTTTTGTATTGTCACCTCCACTTGGACTGCCTCTTTGGTATTGCATTTAAAATAAAAATAGTTTAAAAAATATAATATAATTTTTAAATTAATATTAAACTTAATAATACATATAACATACATTATCAAAAAAAGCATCATAGGATTCTCAAGACTCTACATTAAATACAATTGCAATGCCTTGTTCTGAAGTAGGCGGATATTCTATTGGCAAAGCAGAATATCTAATTTCTTCAACTCTTAGACTTTCAAAAATTAAAGTAATTGATGAATCATCATCATAGTTAGAGTTTATATTATTGCTAACAAATTTAGACTTAATAAAATAAAATAAAATTAATTAATTTTATTATATTGATATTATAAATTAAATATAAGTTATATTAAATAATTACTGTTGAGTAGAAATAACTTTATAATCATCAAAAGGTGAATATGAATTTGATTCTGTTGTATTAGCGACTGGAATTTCCATATCTGACCCGTTATAAATAGATTCATTATCGTTTGATTCATAATTTTCATTGGATACATAATTGATAGTAGGTTTATAATTATCAGTGTTTGTATTATCACTATCGCTTTGAATATATATAGGTTCCATAATTAGAAGAATAAAGCGAAAGATAAAAAAATCAGTTTACTTAAAGTAAATTAATATATACGTATAATCAATTGATAAATTGACTGATCTTATTATTATTATATGATAAATATCTATATAAAATACAGTCAGACCCCCTAAATGCACCCTCTCTAAATGCAGCACCTCTCTAAATGCACGTCTTCTTTTGGGCCCAAATAATATTACATCTATAGATTTTTACCTCCCTAAATGCAATACCTCTCTAAATGCATGTGCTAGAGCCGGTCCCGATGACGTGCATTTAGAGAGGTCTGACTGTATATAGAATTGTTCGCTTATTATATATATACAAGACATTCATACTTATTATATAAATTTCAAAAAGAACCTTTAATAAAACTATTTATTCGTATGAAGAATAATTTAAATATGTATAACTATTTTAGTTTTATTAATCTACAAAGCTATAAAAATTTTCTGGTTCTCATAACATGAGACAAAAAAAATGACCCACCCGCCCGGACTTTTATTTAAAAATTTTATACATAAAAAATTTTAAATTTATAAAATTTTTAAAAAAAAATTTTTTGAAATCCTACCCGGCTATTAAAACATATACAATAAATTTTCAAAATATGACCCGCCAGGTTATGAGAACCAGAAAATTCAGTTTGTATAGCCTTAAATAAAAAAGGCATCGGTAATTCTAAATATCTTTTAAGATATTATAAAGTATTTGAAATAACAAATGTAAGGTAAATAATTTATAAAGTAGTCTTTATTACTAAAAGTCACCATGAGTCCAGCTTTACTATCTAATGCCACAAGAATTTTGAACAATTCCTCATTTTATAGTTAAAAAAATCTTAACTTTTAAATATTGAACAATAAGTTATTAAAATTCTCTTCATTTTCGGTTATCGGAAAGTTAACTATTTAAAATTTTTTCGGTATTATTTTTATTAAGTAAATAGTTACACTTAGTGTGATGGGTAATAGTTAATAACTTCGATCATCGTTAATAATGTCGATATGATGAATTAAATAAACTACCAACGGATTTAATAAAAGTTTAGTCCGCCGATATCTCAGCAATTTTTGAAGAAATATTGACGCAACTTTTCGTTTTTTATACATCCTGTATTAATTGGCTGCGCCATATATTATTAAGTCGTTCTATTCGATCAATTAATTAATAATCATTATCATTATATATTAATTATTAATAATTCAGGAGGTCCCATCACTAGTTACACTACTTATGCATTAACAATAATACTGTAACGATAATGCAATCATTAAAATATTGTATCACGCAACATCATATTACAGTTTAAAAAAACCTGAATTGCTCAGTACGTATTAGTATTACTTAGTTAATTATCAAACCATACAATTAATTTTATAAATTATTAATACATGTAGATAAATTAGATAATTTCGATTAATGAAGAAATTTGATTAGTGGGATTTATTTGATTAATGAAATATGATTATTTGAGAAATTTTGTGAATTTATGTAATTAAGGGAACATTTGCCCCACTTTTAATTATCTGCATCCGTTCATTCTACTAAGTGTCATAGTAAAATCGACTTCATCTTGCTTACGTGCTTATCATAAACTCTAATAAGTGTTGACAAACCACCCCTTTCAATAGATTGTCTGGGATTTATTGGCTTTGTGGTTGAATTAAATAGTTCTGGTGTTTTTGTAAGGTTTGCCGAAGGCATCACCTATATGGCAAAAGATCCCATTTAGCTTGTCGTGATCCAATATTACGTGTCATCCCTTTTTAATTAAACAGATTATTTATTTATTGTTACTATACAAATTGCAAATTTATAAAAAAATATATACATATATCTTCGTTTTATTATTTTTTCACCTTTTTTCAACTAAATTCCTCTTCTAAGTAACGTTGATGCTTTTACATTGAACATATTTTTGCGTCAAAATGTCAATTCATAACAATCTACCGGAAGAACAATCTGAAAAATTCAACAGTTCATCAGATATTACTCAAATATATTCAGAAGACAAGACACAAAATTTTTCATGGGATTTTCTTAATGAAATTGTTAAAGAAATGTGTAATCTGTTTAATAAAGAACGATTAAAAGGCAAATGTCATTATTTAATCCTTGATGTATCAGAACAATTTCTGATAAAAAAGAAGCAAAATCCTGTCAATATTATTAATTTTTGCTTAAATGATCAGATTAATCCTACGATTCAAAGCATTCTTTCCTGTTGTTATCTTTATGGTAAATGGGTTGAAAAGGATGAGCATAAGGCATTCATTTATTGCCAAAAATCCGCAGAGATGGGTGATACTACTGCTACATGTGGTGTTGGATATTTTTATTGGAAAGGAATTGGAGTTGAAAAAGATGAACATATAGCATTTAATTATTTTCAAAAATCTGCAGAAGCAGGTGATTTTTTTGGAATAATTGGCATTGGTCAATGTTATTTTCATGGAATTGGAATCGAAAAGGATGAAAATAGGGCATTCATTTATTATCAAAAATCTATAGATATGGGAAACGCTGTTGGAGCAAATATGGTTGGAAATTGTTATCAATATGGAATTGGAGTTGAGAAAGATGAATATAAGGCATTCTTTTACTATCAAAAATCTGCAGAAGCAGGAGATATCTTGTCAATGTCAAAAGTTGCAGAATGTTATCGAAATGGAATTGGAATGACAAGAGATTTAAATAAAGCCAAATATTGGTATCAAAGGTAAATTTAATTTTGATTCTACAATTTATTTTGATACTGTATATTGTGTCGCAACACAATCAATTTATAAGATCAGGTGTAATTAAACTTAATATGTATCAGTGTTGTGGTTAATGATAAACATCATAAACAAAATCGCGAGCTTCTTTTTTTTTTAAAAAAAAAAAGATCATTACACCTGATTATAGTATTCAATTAGTAGACCTTGGTAATGCCAAGACGTAACGCATTAAATTACAATACTTCATTACAATTCGGTGGATTTGAGAATTTAACCTTTATTAAAATTCCCTATCTATTTTATAATAGATTTAAGATTTAACACATAAGATTAAATTCTTAAGATTTTGTATAAATGTCCAATTACTAAGGACATTCGGGATTTTGGATTAAGGTTAAATTCCACAAATCTACCGAATTAATATATCAATACGTTTATATATTTAATAAATTCAATTACTGTTTTAAATCACTGATTAGGGAAAAAAAAGCTTTAATAACAGGTATTATCATAATTATCATATTAAAAATTAATTTATTTATCTAAACTAACAATTTTGCAAATAAACGTTAGCTGCAAACGAATTGATGCATGACTCTAAAATTTTTGAAATTGAAGATGAGTTGAAAAAAATATTGAATGATAATAAGCATCAGTTATCATGGATTTCTTACAATGAATTTATGGATATTAAGGTGATAGGTAAAGGTGGATTTGCAACTGTCTATTATGCTAGAATGCACTACCTTCCATCTCTAAATATATACAGGAACGTTGCACTTAAACTACTTCATGAATCGAACAATTATAATGGAACATTTATAAGAGAGGTAATTTTTATTAAATATTTTAGTACAGAATTATTTGTAATTTATAATTATATAAATAATTTGAATGTATATTTCTTTTTAATATTAGTTAAAAGCATTTTGTGACATCGGACTTAAAGATCCAACTTTTTTAAATTGTTTTGGTGTATCAAAAGATAAAGTTTCTAAAGACTATATCCTTGTGATGAATTACGCTTCAAAAGGTTGTTTACGCAAAAATCTACATGCTATAGCACAAATGGATTGGAAAGATAAATTAAATCTGCTGCAATGTATCGCTTCAGATCTTTTGATTATTCATTCTCATAATCTTATTCATCGGGATTTACATAGTGGAAATATACTACAAGATAACTTAAAGAGTGCATATATTTCTGATTTAGGACTTTCGATGACTGCTAATATTGCATTAAAATCAGAATCTGATGGAATTTATGGAATTTTGCCATACATTGCTCCTGAAGTTTTGAAACAACGATTATATAAAAAGGAGTCTGATATTTATTCATTTGGTATAATAATGTGGGAAATTTTATATGGTAAACCTATTAGTTTTGAGCAGAAATCTGAATTACAATTTCAATTACAAGTATGTAAAGGTTTACGACCACATATTTATGAAAATACTGCAAAATGTTATGTAGATTTAATGAAAAAATGTTGGGACCCAGAGCCAGAAAAACGACCAACAGCAAAAGAAATTTATAATATCTTTACAGAATGGCAGAATAATGAAAATATTTTATTAGAATTATCTGAATCTGATATAAAACTACAAAATATAATAAATAAAAATACAAAAATATATAATGATTCACATTATAAAAGTAGCATTATTTCACTTAATAGTAGCTATATATATCAAGGTAATTAGGAATTTTTATTTTGTAATAAATTATATTACTTTATACTATATCATAAATCATCATTTTTTAGGCAGCAAATTATGTGAAATGGAAATACTGGATATTAATGAATCAAATTTAAAATAGAAATATGGCAAGAAACTTAACAAGAATGTACGTAAAATATTATAGAGAATATTATAGAGAATCGTTTATTCAGTTTATATAACATCTTCACTTGATAGGTTAATGTTTGAATTTTTCTTCATTTTATCGCTTTCAATTCTTTATATCTTATTTATTGTAAATATATTTTAAACATCTTTTAGCTATCAAGTTATAAGAGACTTAATAGAACTATAAAAAATAATTTTAATATATTTTCAATATATGTTTAATACATTCTTTAAAAAATAATATTTTAAAGAAATAACGATTATATGATTATTATATAATAAATATATTTGGCAAAAATACAAGTTTCTGTAAAGATCATTAAAATATTGTGGCATATCCGTATTTAAAATCATCCAACTTTTGTTAGTATCTTTTACAGCTAACCAGAATTTATTGTTTCGCAATAAACCGAATGAAGATATCAGTAGCAGCCATTTTAGGTATATCTCATGAACCAAATGAAATTTATCTATCAGTATAATAGCCAGAGATTCCTGTCGTTTCATTTGTAATAAGGGAATATTTAATAAAAAAGGACACCACCATAGTGTAATAAAAAGTAATTATATAAAGTTATTTGTGATTGATTCGAAGAAAAATTCGAAAAAAATGGTTGTGAAGTTATTGATATTGGTGTTTTTAACAATATATAAATCAGTAAAAAAAATCGGGTACTGATTCATTCATGTGAGTTATCGCGTGAGTGATGTGATTACAAAAGGTAAATCACTTCAATTTCATCATATTTCGTGGGACTCTCTTTAGAATTCATATATTTCCATTTGATTGATAAATAAGACTTATAAAATAAGATGAACATAAAGTAACTATCTATGTTGTATCCACGGACTCACGAGACTCGAAAAAAATTTTCATGCAACGTTTCAACGATGTGATTTACTTGGTAAATATGGTAATAAGAAGTATTGCACATTTGAACGGTTGAATGATTACATTATTTTATTTTTGTAATCGATATATAAATTATGAAAATTGTTCAATAAATCACCAGGATGAGTATGAAGTTCATCCTGTTCACTTTAACGATTATTTTCAAGAGAATGTATGTATGATTATGATTAACCGTAATCATTTAATCGTTTTGATAAGTCAGCAAAGGTAAGTACGAAGTTTAATTCTGTTCACTTTAATGATTGTTTTCAAGAGAATGTATGTATAATTAACCATAACCATTTAATCGTTTTAATAAGCCACCAAGGTGAGTACAAAATTTAATTCTGTTCACTTATACGATTGTTTTCAAGAGAATGTATGTATTATTAACCATAACCATTTCATTCAATAAATCAATAGGGTGAGCATGAAGTTTGATTCTGTTCATTTTAACAATGTGCTTCGAGAGAATGTATAATTAACTGTGATCATTAAATCATTCAATAAAATCGCCAGAGTGAGTACGAAGTTTAATTCTGTTCGCTTTATCGAGTGTATTTCAGGAGAATGTATGATTATCCAAAACTATTTAATCGTTCAACAAAATCACCAGCGTGAATATGATGTTTAATTCTGTTTGCCTTGGTAATTTATTTCAGGATAATCCGTAATCATTTAATCGTTCAACAAAATCACCAGGATGATTATAATTTTGTTCACTTTAGCATTTGTGTTTCAAGACAATGTATGATTAACCGTAATTAATTAATCGTTTAATAAAATTATCAGGATGAGTATGAAGTTTAATTCTGTTCACTTTAATGATTTTTTTCGAGACAATGTAGATTAACTCATCATGGCGAATTTATGAAATTTAGCTAAAATTTGGTCACCAAATCCGAGTATTTTGTCCCCCGAAGTAAATCTTAGTTGCCAATTTATATATTATTAAATCGATACCAAACCTTGGAAATTTTTTTTGGACCTCTGATCTGATCTAGACTGATAACGCGTCTAACCCATCTTCCTCACCCTTATTAGACATATAAATATAAATTTATTATCAGCCTGAGAAAAATTTCTTATCTCAGCCAAAATCTATATTTATATCTTAGTGGTCAAATTTTGGGGTATTTCATAAATTCGCTACAATGTACAGTATAATCAATTAATCATTCAATAAATCATCAGGGTGAATATGAAGTTTAATTCAGTTTACTTTAACGATTGCGTTTCAAGATGATGTATAATTAACTGTAATCATTTAATTGTTCAATAAATTACCAGGGTGAGTATGAAATTTAATTTGTTCACTTTAACAATTGTATAATTAATCGTAATCGTTTAATTGTTCAATAAATCACCAGAGTGAGTATGAAGTTTAATTTGGTTCACTTTAACGATTATGTTTCAGGATAATGTATAATTAACCGTAATCATTAAATCGTTTAATAAAGAATTTTGGGGTAACAATTTTATCGTGATCGATACACACGTAGCGTAACACATGCATAAGGCTAGTACATAATAAACAGAAATACTCTATAATAAAGTCATCTAATCAAACCAATAATAATATCTTTTAACGATCAATGATTATCAACTCATCATACCAGAAATAATTTAAGAAAAAAATTAAAAATAAAAAAATTTATGTAAATATCGATATAGGCTTTTTATAATATTAATAGCACATAGGTATGCTAATTATCAAATATTAAGATTATTAACTGTTGCACAATTTAAATTGCAAAAATTTCGCGTATAAATTGAGACCGCCAGCAAAACGACAGGTCATTACTAGAATCTCATATTATAATATCACTATCATATCAAATAACAAGTTTACCCAAAATTATACTACCAGAATTAATATTTTCGGAACTACGAATTAAATTGCCAAATTATTTTTCTGGAGCTTTTCCAGAAGGTACGCAGCCGAGTTGAGGACTACAAATTGAACTGCAACATTGATTATGAAATTCACAGGGACTTCCAATAGGAGAACAGGTAGGAGCACAAACGGTTGAAGTAGGTGTGCAAGTTATTGTTGTTGTTTGTTCGCATTTATCGCAATCATCAGGCACCTGTTCGTTATCAGGGCAAGCATTCAAAGTAGGTGTTTCTGTTGAACAGGTTATAATGGATGTTACTGTTACAGAACTAATATCAGTGATAGTGCATGTTCTAAGAGATTGCGGATGATATTTATGTTTAGCATGTGGGGGTGAGTCAGTAGAAACGCACCATGTTCTTTTTAATGAAATTTTTTTGAATCTTCAAACAAAAATATATCAGCAAAAACTTAACCAAATTTAGTAAAAATTTTTTTAAATAAATTTTACAAGTTTTTTGAATTGGTTTAAAAAA